GTAGGTGGCCTGGGTGCACCCACGACTCTCGGAGTTTACTGAGAGCACCTTGGCAGTCAAGATGGCCAGTGGAGACTACGACGGCCTGCTGCTTGGTGACAGCGGCTACTCCTGTCAACCACGGCTGATGACGCCCTTCCTGTCGTTGTCATCGGCAGCAGAGGTCACATACAATGCAGCACGCACGACGACAAGAAGCATTGTTGAACGTAAATCTAGGCCATATATTGTGAAGGGCACAGAGATCTTAGTGCAAGGCATTTGGAGACGACTAGCTGTCCCGACGTAATTGTGCAACACGTGCATGCTCCTTACGTCTTCTGCTGTTCTTTGTAACATAAAAATATTCATACAAATTTTGATATTTATCTATTGAAGCATAAGATACCGTGGTTTCATGTAAGCAAGATGAAAGTACCAATATCCTGAGATTAAGAATTAATATGGCTTATAATAGTTGCCAAGGTTTCTGCGGTTTCAGTTTTTATTTTTCTGGAATCGGCATACTTTTTTCGGTAGTTATTGTGAGAACAAAATTTTCAGTTTTTCTAGATGAATGTTTTTAGAGTAGAAAGCTTACTGCATTTTTCTGGTCAATATGTATAGACCGTAAAATCCCGAGAGATAGCTCACCTAAAATCGAGAGCAAATAGGGTGAAAATATGGAGTGGGCGAACTTTCGGTGTATAATCAAGAAAAGTTTAAAAAATTAAATTTTTATGTCATGTGTCCCTTCCAAGCTTGTTATGGTGGCGAGGGGCAACGAAGCAAAGATGACTGTACTTCCCAGCTAGCAATGTTCGCTTATATCCCGCAATAGATAACTAGCTGCATTTAAGTCGAGGTCATCGTTGATCCCAACACTACGATTACTAGGAGTGGGCTATCTTTCGGTGCTTAAAAAAATATAGCAAATCAAGCCAAAATAGGGGTGGGCTATCTTTTGGGGGTGGGGCACCTCTCGGGATTCGACGGTAGTTACACTTTTTTTTCAAGCAGGTTTGTCGAGAATGCAGTAGATTAGGTTCATATCTGAGTTATTTGTCAGGCAACAACACTTGCGGACATGGCAAACATAGCCTTGGTTAAACATGGGCCCTGACAACAAATTCTAGATCGCGAAATTCGCAAACGTAATTCTTGGCACGCTTTTTTGTTCCTCACATTTGGAGGACTATCAAAGCTGCTTTCCTCTAACGAGATAGAAGCTTGAGAGGGGCTGTTTAAACAGCTTTGGGTTTTTTATGCCCCCTACAATAGGAACAGATTGACATTCCATTCCTCTTAGAATGGCTTGACAAACAATGAAAACACTCCAAATCCGGCCAATAGACAACCACAGCGAACTTGGTGGACAAAGACTGAATCACGAAAGGAACGCCGATTGCATCTACAACAAACCCAAATACTTCCTAAAGTGTGCTGCCAACAGAATAGTTCGAAGCCACGGGGATAAGATAGTTCACTACTCGGTCACCTGCTTCAATACTCTGTCTACTCGATCACCACTTTGTCACATGCTCCTATAATTGTCTAAAGTACTGGCCATTTAGGTTTAAAACCAAATTTTCAAAACTTACTTTACCACACTTTATTGGGTTTTATCGCTTGAAACTGAAAATGCAGAACCTCAGTTATGTCTTAGGCCCAGGACTTGCAATAATGGGGAAAAGTACTAAACTCGACTATGGTGCCAGTGCTATGCAAGACAAGGACAGAAGGTGATATTTTGTTAATTGGCTGAAAAGGAGCACTAATGGCAATGAAATTTTTCCTAGACAAAACAGTGGAAGTAACACTGTGCCGTGGAAGTTTCATGTGTCTACTTGTTTAAATGTCAGTTTCGGGCTGGTTAACAGGAACTAACTAAACGTGCTAGATATGTATGTACTCATAGTGAGTGCACAAGTACAGCTAAGCTCATGTGTGCTGGGATGCCTGTGAGCCACAAATAGCGGCACATTGCTGCAAGTCACAAACGATTGTGTGTTGCTGACAGTCTCGACCGATTGGCCAAGAGTACATGTCCTAGCGTGACCTATTCTTCTCTCATCGATGGATTTAAGAGTAGTGCCAAGGCATCATTTTGGACAATGTTGATGTTGAGCATGCAATAACAAGTTTCCACAAATAGTATCTATACATGCCACTGTACACGCCATTCACAACTGATGATGAGTCGCCAGAACCTCGAACGTTCAGGCAAATTTTGCTTGAGATTCCGTCGTGAAAGCGCCATAAAATCCTCTACTGAAACTTTTGCCGTATACGTCAAGGAGCTTCCATCTAAGCCAGAAATGGCGGCGCGTGGACCACTAACTAGTAATAGGAACATGAGCGGCACAATCAAAGGCTAGGAGCACTTGGATAAGTCATTATATTAAGCGCTTTATGTCTTACATCTCCAAGGCTTGCAAGAGGGATTCTTATTGATCAATGACAAGTGTAGATGGGTTGGGCTACCATGGACATCTATTCCTAGATAATGGAAGGGGAAAGCCACAGCCAGACAAGAACCTAGTTCTTTTTCTATTTTCACTCTGTCTCACAAGTAAAATGTACAATGAAATTTTAATGGTACTGTATTTGTTGCAGTATAAAGCTTAGGTACAAGGTAATTCTTACAGCGTCAGCAGTAATCAGGTAGCAGACAACTCTAACATATTGGCCTGTGCATGTGCAGGTGCTTGCTTGGAAACATATTCAAGAACCCTTTGAAGAGAGCGCTTGAATAAAGCTGCACTTTGCTTGTTGCTTTCTATAAAACACATTGCACAGGCTAACGTGACCCCGAATGTGAACGTAGCGTAAAAACAATTCAGAATGAAAATAAAATGGTATGCATAATGCCCAGCTTTCAATATTCTGGAGCAATGGGCTGGAAAAATTAGAAAGTGTGATATCAGGCCCCGCAGTCAATTTGTAATTCGAATTCAGTTGTAAATCTGTCCTTGTTCTGCGTCATCCTCTTGATTATTTGCGTTCCACGCTGTTGCCTGATTTTGCAATTGGGTTTCTGGGAAGGAATAACATGTGGTCTTGATCCATGCGCTCTGTACAGGACAATAGGCCAACTCAAGCGCAGGTTTCACTGCCTTCACGCTGAGCTAAGAATGGCTCCAGAACGGTGCTGCGACATTATTGTTGCATGCTGCGCCCTCCACAACCTGGCCAAGAGGTACCCTTGCAGGACACCCATGGCCACCATCCCCGCTGAGGTTCCCGTTGAGCCCGTAGCAGCCAACCGTGCTGAGAGCAACGAGGCCCGAGACTTCATTGTCGACCATTTCTTCGTCTAAATGTAAGTGTCTGGATAGGTATCTTCAGGCTGTCAATTTCTAATGCAAGATGCTTTGTTAAACACCGATGTGACCGTGGCTATCGTTTTCATCCTTTATCAGGCTTTGCAGATAATTATAAGAAAATTATGTCAGATAGTTGTCTAACTAGATCAAATAATTGCTTTAACCAATGTCTATTGTTTCGCTACTTAAACATCAATTGCAATTTTGGAAACTGCAACAGTTAGGGGCTCAACCTTGCTGTGCAGTTAGCAAGAAGCTAACAGCTTTAAAATAACAATTTAATTTTATTTTAATCTTTTTGTTGTATGATCTAACTGGATGCGAGATTATCATAAGTTCTACTCAAAATAACCCATAAAGGAGTGTAATACATGTGACAATGCTGAAAGCATGTTACCAACATGACGATGACAGTCCAACAACGCGTATATCACTCTTGCACACATCAATTTGGGTAGTGCTTGCAGAAGTCCCAGATAGGTAGAGTTTCGAAATTTGGGTGATAGAAATGTAAAGAATGATTGCTGGAGATCCCACTATACCAGTCGCTTCCACAGCACTACATGTAAATTGCAGCATGGGCCACAAAATAAGTAAAAAAATGTTTTTCTTAATTCCTGCATTATTGTTGCAAAGGCTTTGATAGCATCAAATGTGTCACTTGGGGCACTTATAATTAGCTTGTTGGAAACAGTGTGCTAAAAAAAATCCCTGCCGAAGCCATTGGTCAAACGGGAGTGCAGTGCAAAGTCCAACACTCCTGCAAGTGCACACCGCAGCTCAACCCACCTGCTTGTTACTGCTTTGGTCTCCTCCCCATCAACTCCTGCACACTCTCGCAGAGCTACAGGCGTAAGCACTCATGGGCTCTCTTAAACTAACATATTTTGAATTTGATTTCCGAAGTTCATAACAATGCACTTTTCAAACTTCAGACTAATGACCCGAGGGATGCTTCTTCAAATTTGTGCCCTTCTTCGCAATCTCTGGTGCTCTCTTTTTATACTGTCATTATTTCTTGTAATACACTTCAAACACCGATGGATGCTTTATGGGAAGCGCTGAAGTCAGCCCTATAACAGACTATGAGTGCAAAGTTTATAGTGAGGCAACTGAAGAAGAGAGTTATTTTCCCATTCAATATCTACAAACTGAGAGTATTGAATAGGTACAGGAGCATGAATAGGAGAGTGTAGTGAAAGTGACGTCCATTTGATACCAATTTCAAAGCTATCAGTACATATTATATATACTACCCCATAGAATGTTCACATTGCACTGCATACTCATGGTTACTAGTCATAACACCTTTCACAGATTCTTCCAACCTGCAAAGCTTTTCTGTTATTTTTCACAAACCTCCTAGGGTTAGTTCATATTTTCTTCATCCTGACTGGCATGATAACATCATTTGCAAAACACTTATTTCTAGTAGGCAGTGTCCAGAGAGGAGCTCTATTGTACATACTACAAGCAACAAGTAGATTTCAGCTCTAAAAAAATATTTTTCCCATCAATACTTAAAAAACAAGGTAAGCGGTGACGATTCAAAGTAATAAGAGCCGAAGACTCGGGGCCACAAAAAAGGTGACAGATGCAACATAATGATGTAGTGTGGTGTTTGATCCCTTTTTCTGTTCCCAAGTTTCGGGATCTTATTGGTATGAACTTTTTGTACATAGGCAGCATGCACTTCATAGGTCGCAGGAGCATATCCAAGCTGAAAGAGCCTTTATTTTACAAGCACAAGGAATATTTGCAGATGCAAGTCAGAGATTGTCTGTGGTCCACTCATCAGTTATTGAGACCTTTACTTAAAAGACAGACACTCAACCTTGGTCTTCTGTCGGGAGGCTAATAGTCTTGGCGACCTCCTCTCCCAAAATGTGACGGGGAGCCGCGTTATGGAAGGGAAACATGCGAGAGGATATAAGAGAAAAGAAATTATACAACCGCCTTTGAGCTTAACTTGCATTTTTATTTTAGACATCCATGCGAAATATATGCCGCCTACGAGGCGTCAAAAGCCTGGGTGCCACACTGCCAGTATGATCCTGTGTTGCTTACTTAACCACAGCGTAAAATATTACGATCACAACAACCACGCTGGTCTAGTGTGGTGATAGTTAACGAAAAGGAAAAAGGTGTGCGCGATCTGCCCTTGTAGACAGCCTGCATGAAATAAATAAAGAGTCAAGCATACCGTGTTTGCACGATTCTAACGCGCCTCTGATTTTTACACGGAGGCAAATTTAGCTCCCAGATATTGAAAAATTTAATTGGTGCCCAATTGTACCGTGCACCTAAAATACTGGACTTTGAACACATACCTCATAGAACCAATTTTAGGAAACGCACGCCCAATACGCAAAAATAATTACCGCGCACCAGTCGCCGCTGTCAAAATCTGGCTATGGTTCTTCGCTGTCCACAGACCGCAGAAGGTCTTCCTTGCTTTCGTCTACAACATTTGAGGTGCCGTGCTTCTTGCGCTTGTACAAGTGTGCAACCGTCGCGTACTAGAGGGACGTCTTCCAAACAACACTTCGCGAGCTCGTCGGGTCGCTGGGATTGCGAGGCCACCCAGTATCGCTCCGTTGTTATCGTTTCCTGCCAGTGTGATGATGCTTCGTTCAAATAAAGCCTCCTAGTGGAATTTAGCTATTTTGTTTTTCCATCTTAAAACGGTAGACACGAGTCCGTAAAGGCAAAAGAATGCGCGATACGGATACGAAAATGGCGAATGTAAACGAACGGTCACGAAGGCGATTGGGCTAGCTGCCTTATACCGAGTACTGCGTTTTTCTTTTCAGTTTTGGTTTTCAATTTTGATTGTAATGCGCATGCAATTTTAGGCACCAATTTTGGCGAAAAAAAGTGCGCGTTAGAATCGTGCAAACACAATATATAGTTCAGAAAAAACACAAAATATGTATAAAACTCAATCACAAAAAATGCAAGTAGATTATTACATGAGTTAATCTTGCCCTAATTGTCTTTTTATCAGTTCAATTTGCAGCTGTGCTCGAGTAGTTTCAAGTCTAACGAGTTCTCTTTTCTCCCTGAGCACTTCCTCGCCTAAAGCATAGAAACTCCGTGCAGCATTTGCTGCAGCGAGGGTTGCGTTTGCAGCCTGTATGGCACCATTTCTATACTTTCCCTCAAGGTGTATGTTCTCATCCTCCAAATCCAGCTGTCGCTTGGCCCTTCTCTGGTACTGCTGTGCAGCCTCACAGGTCCAGCGTTGATTGTGCTGCACAACAGGAGAAGCCGGAGTTCTCTGCGCTGCGGCATCTTCAACTGTACTGCTGCCAGATGACGAGGGTGACAGCGACGTCGCCCTTTCCGTGCAGCTGCTGTTGTGACACACACATGAACAGGAAATTGTTTGAAGTTAATGCATACGCCTTTACAACAATTGTCAGCAAACTTAAAATGCTAAGCCGCTGGGCTGTGGATGGTAGCCCGAGGTACAACATCGTCTTGCGTAAAGTTAATGCTCAGGACGTGTTCCGAGCATGTGCAGTGAGGAAAATGGCAGCTCACAGAGGGCTTTTGTGTGGCAGGGGTACACTTGTAAATTTCAGCCTAACTTGGCAAACTGCAAGGGCTACAGCTCCAGAGAGCTGCTCAGAGCACTGAAGCAAAGGATTGTGACAAGACACCATACTGGTGCACGTCCTCTGTGACATGATTCTCTCCGTCCTCTATCTCTCCGAGTGATGGATGAGGGCTGCAGTGCATGACGTTTTTGACATCACCCTGGATCAGGGTACATCAATGTATGGGAGAACTGAGCACGATGCGTGGCAAGCTTAATCCAAATGTGACAGCAACACTTGTCATAATTTTACCACATATGTTGGCGGTCGAACAGACTGGAGTGCCTAACCCCACAACTTCTTTTCATTGGCAGTTGGTAGAGTCGCCATACAGACATTTGTATAAGATTTAAAACAAATAGATGTGGCACACTCACACCAACTGTCATCTGTGATTATTGTGTACTGAAGCACTGTCCGGCTAACTGGGACATTGATACTTTTTCAGATTTTGTTGGCACAGATCAGCATTGAATAAGTCATTGGTGCATTCTCACCTTAACCTCACCAAAAAGAATGGATTTTGGCTACGTTAGCGTGCATGTACGAAGGTCGTGCAAAAACACCTCCACTGACAGTGGAAAAATTTGGGATATTGAGTGATCTCATTTTGAGGAAAATGGGTGATCTCAATTTGAGTGAGACTAACATAACTTTGTTGATTATGATGTAAATATTCCTTTGTAATTTTGGGGCACAGATAGTTTAAAACTGTGAGTTTTACTGCATTTACCCTAATACCGTAAAATACCGTAAGGACACCCATCCGAAATGAAGAGATAAATTGGGAAAAACATGGGGTGGGCTATCTTTGGGGAGGCCACAGCAAAACTTTATCAAAAATTAATGATAAGCGCTGGGGCACCGGCTACAAACCACGTGACGCGGGAACTGATACCGCAGATCGTGGATGCAGCAGATTCAAGTTTCATGGTGCAATAAAGACGCGGGAACCCGCTACAATCTTGCCTGTCACGGAAACAAATACCGCAGACCGTGGACACAACAGAATCGCATTTTACGATGCAATATAGATGCGGGAAAAACTCGCGTGTTACGCAAGCCGATATTGTGCGCAGATCGCAGATAAAAACGCGGGAACCTGCTATGAACTTGCTTCTCGGACACACCGGTACCACCGATCGCGCCCTTGATGCGCGATTCCTGTCGGACATCGCTTGACGTCCAGCAAGAATCAAGGGGTGGGCGATGTTTCGGAATTTTTATGTTACAGATATTTAGCCAGAAAAACGGGATGGGCGATCTCTCGGGGGAGGGCGCTTTTACGGGATTTTACAGTAAGTGGTTCTATTGGCACTTTTTCAGCAGTGCAGAAATGGCTAAAAATGCGAAGGTGGTGTCCTTCTGCTGTGCTCTGTTCTCTAAGGGAAAAGTTTTGACTCGTGCTCCTAATATTGTCATTTTGCTTCATGAAGTTGGTCTCCATGTAAGGGCACGCAGCAGTAGTGTTATGCAACTGACATGTTCGCTTTGAGATGGAAAACCCATGTACTGCTTTTTTTGGTTTGACAGCAAACTCACTTTTGCAGCTTTGTTTACTACAGCTGTCTGTCTGAAATTTCAAGGAGGGGGGGGGTTCTGAAGCCCCCCTGCCCTTGTTCCCACGCTACTCGCCTACATACATTTTTCTTTTGTGTTTATTTGAATGATAGTGTTTACATTGTTTACGGCGGTAAAGACGTTTTTGGCAAGCAATATTTGGAAATAATTTTGAGAAATGACACAGGCCCACTGCATGAAACAAGACCCAAGGTGCTTTGGGGCTATTTCTGTGTAAGTACCACTGAGTTGAAACTTGTGCGAGGAAGAGCTAATTAATCTCCAGGCTTGCCCTTTGATCATATTGAGCGAAATGCTAGTTGTTGGGCATTGAATGGGGTCTTCGGGAATCGGCTGAGATATTTGACCCAAAACTTTGCGAGGCTATATCGTTCTCCAATAAATTTGTACAGTGCACCCAAAATTTGCAATAAAGATTTTACACATACTGCTTTTCTGTTTCGGTAGGGCAAATATTGGAACTTACCTGTCCGTTGGTCATGTTCTTTGTACAATCTGTACAAAGTTTGGCACTTTTTAAGTAATTTTCTCTATGCTTCTCGAAGTTGCGTCACTGAATGCGGAATTTAGTGGCGGCAGGTCATGCAATTGTCAACTTGGTCCCAGGCGCGTCTTTTGGTTTTAGTAGTCACGGTAGGGTCGAATTTCCGCTGGATTTGATATTTTAGAGTTTCAACTTCCCGGATTAATTCTAATTTTTCATCTAGGGTCCAATTCTTTTGACGCAGCAGTGCGGTCCCCTTTGAGGTAGTCACTCGGTTCATTTTCGTTTGCAGAAGAAGCATGATTGTCTGCAACCTTGGTTTATTTATCTACACAATCACAACAACATTCCTGCTAACCGTAAAATAAATTTTAAGAAACAATGCAAAATAACAAACTAGTGCATATCCAACAACTTCAGTCTTGTTTATTTCTCGGTTCTAGAACTTTTGCAGACGGCACAACGGAGTTGATTCGGAAACTCTGCATGTACCGGCTGTCTTGGGGGGCGAGTGAATTGAACGATTGGCAGGTCCCTGGTCTTCTATGGACGGTGTAACATTTCACTGAATCCAGAGAAAGTTCTGCTACTCATCAATAAATATCCATTGTGCCGTTGAGCCGCTGTCCACCGTTTATCTGCAGAACAGTTGATGCTGCAGTTGCACTGTAAGCACAATACGAGGATTTTGTACAAAATGGACACCGTGAACAGAAATTTTCCCGGCGTGACTACTTTCGATAAACCGCAATCGCTGCTCAAAAGGCAACTCTCCGTAATTCTTGCTTTCAATAAACATATTCTGATACTGGTCCTGCTCAAAGTTAGTTTCATAGCACTCAACATAATGTGTGTATGAGGCTGGCCTCATCACAACCCTATCGCGAAATGTTTTGGTACTCACCGTAAAACACTTGTCGTACTTGGCTGTCATGTTCCTTGGAACACGTTCCATATTTTGGCGCTGTTATGCATGATTCTTGCTATGCTTCAATGAGGCCGATACGAAGCTTCGACAAATCGGTGACTCCGAGCCATTGTACTACATTCACCGGTCATTTAGATTGTCGACGGGATGCTGCCGTCGACTTCAGTCGCAGTCCCCTCGAATTGTCAGTTTCTTTAAGGCACAAAAAGAATACTTCTACACTCTTAACTTAGAACACGGAACCTACCGTATTTGCACGAATATAACGCGACCACGAATATAACGCGAGGGCAGTTTTTGATGCCCCCAAAAAGAAAAAAAAATATTATTACTATTATAACGCGAACCGATGCCGCGTCAATTTCTCGCACTCGGGGGCATAGCAGAAGTGAAAAGTCAATGGAAATAGAAGAAATATCAGTTTATGTTTTGACTGCACTCATCCTCACTGCTCAGGTCCTTCCGTTTACAATCCACTTGGCGACTACGCAGGTATGCAGCAGCACGGCACCTGCTTGTCTGGTAGTTTTCTTCCGTGGGAGCTCCTCGGCAGCCCACAATCCAAACAAGGCGCGGAAGCAGAAGCACCAACACACAAACACCAGACCACTCTTGAGCAGAAACTAAACAATGCGCTGGCAGAAAAAAGACTGCTGAACCCGATACACGATCACACTTCTTGTTCTGATCCCTCTTCGTAAACAAATGCCTCGTGTTGCACGATTGGGTAAACGCGGTCTTGGCTTGGCTTGTGTTGACTTGACTTGGCCCGGCTTGGCTTGGCTCGAATTGGCCAGTGCCCGCATTCCCGTATGGCGCGCGCGCGTGCGGCGTGCGCGCGTTGTAAGAACACAAAAGCGATAAAAATGCTTTTTTATGTTTTCTATTCGCCCCTTCACGTGGCCCAATGGCTAGAAAATGCCCCTCCACACCCCCACTTCTTTTTCCATTGGATCTTTTGCATTGAGCCGGAGGGATGACTTTCTCCTCTGGCTTTCTCCAGACTCTCGCGCCTCGTGGCTGAACTCGATTCCGAATATAACGCGAGGTGCGTTTTGGAGCCCGTAATTTCGGAAAAAAACTCGCGTTATATTCGTGCAAATACGGTAAATCATCGCTCTGAAGACAAACACCAATGCGACCGCGAACGTGGAAACTGTGTATGCCTCAGCCATTTTGTCAAACGAAGAGGCGGGGCCTTGCGAGGCTCCCCGCATCCCTACCGAGCCGGTCACGTGATTTCAAAAGCCCTCTCCCAGGTACTGCGGTTAACTTCAGCTGCGGTTAGCGCTTAACCGCGCTTCCAGCAAACCGGCCTGGAGTTTGAATTAATGAGAGTCTACTGTATTAGCCTAGATAAAAGTTCCAAGTATTTCTGTCATGTTGGGCCAAGCTTCAAAGTCGTAATCATTGTTTCTGGGATTAGAAGGTAGACTGATTATACAATGTTTTTGCGTGGTCCCATGAAAGTGGTAGGTATGATGGGAGTTCCACTGTATACACTTTACACAAGCATACTGACAGCAGTGTGAAACAAGTATGCGTGCACTCAATGCCACTGAGTCTGATCAGATGATTCAAGTGAAGAGGGCTCAGTGTAAATTTCTGTAATAAAAATTTATTTTTAATTCATTCATTGTTGCTACATCATTTTAAGAATACAAGCCCACTATATGCTTTTGTCTCTCCTTTGCAAAGCTTTTCTGATATAGCTGAGGGAGACACAGTGCTGATGAAGCAGTAGTGATCACCCCAGAGGGGCTACAATTGAAAGCAGTTCATGGACTAGGTAAATGCGAGAGTTGTGCGAGCACTTGACTTAAAGGGACACTGACAGGGTATTTATGCTCGCTGAGATTTTTAGTTGTATGTGACATATGAGAACCCAACTACCCAGAACAGAATTTGCGGTTCAAAACTCGGTTTCTTTCCGCGCGAAAACCGCCGATCGAGAACTGGCCGGTTTGAGTCGCACTCACTCTCTGCTACGTGATCACAGGCCATTTTCTAAGCTTTAGACACAACCACCAAATTTAATCAAGGTCGTGGGTCATTGAAGGCTCACAACTCAATATTAAAAATATAAAAAAATTGAAACCCATTTTTTGTGGCTTTTAAAAAGCTGGAAATATGTTGATTGAAAAAAAGTTGCACAGAGAACCGGAAACATTTTGTGCATTGTAAATCTCAACATGGCGTCGTTTTGCGTATCGTGGGACTTGCGGGGCCGCTGGATGGCGATGGCAGTGGACGACAGGAGTGGGACCTCTACTTCAAAACCGTCGTTTGTGGTACCGGCGAATTCTGTCTTCCTTTGAAAGAAATTTTGGACCGATCAAAATCGGTATTTATTCCGTACGAAACGCCCGACCACCAAGCCGATTTGCAGGAAGACGTCATTGACCCGTCGCCCCCTTCTCGTGGCTGAAGACATCGCTGGCGCAAACGTCAAGCACGAAGTGCGTACTTCGTGTTGAAAATGCACGCGTACGATTTTTTAACTAGGTGTGAATGTGGCCAATGCATGGTGCTGTCCGACTTCGAGCCGGTAGTGCTTTTGCTAGAGGGAAATCAGCAGCTAACTTTCCAACCTACAGTCGACCAGCTGCATTACCATGAAGAGTTCCTCCAGTAGCCCCAAAACCATAATAAATCACCTGGCAAAAAATGAAAAAACTTTTTGGGGGCTGTCGGTGTCCCTTTAAGCACGGCTATGACCGATGCCTTCGCGGACGTTTAGCTTGTGGCCCTTGTCCAATCGCTGTGGTGACGGGACTAGCCGAACCCAGAAGCCCCCATGAAAAGCAGACATAATCTGTTTTGTAAAAGTGCCTATGGGGAAGCGGATCCGTTTTTTGTCATACAGCAACAGATATGCTTTGTGAGGATCATCCAATCTGTCGCAGCAAGAGCTTGCTCTGCTGAAACAATTCAGACACGCCTTGTGAGGAAGACTCACGTCTTTGAGATGGGCAGGACACACTTGACGCTATTGTTGGTGACTTTGCCGACCTCCGAGGAAACGGGGTGCCACTCGAGGTCTTTGGGGCAGTGCACCGACCGTGTCAGCTGAAATGACAACAAATAATGCGATGGTGTACAGGCTGCGTTACGACGGCAATTGTTCCAAACATCGTCCCAAGAAATGCTTTACAAAAGTGAAATGCACAAATACCGTGTTTGCACGATTCTATCGCACACATTTTCGCCAAAATCGGTGCCCGAAACTACATGCACGTTACAATCGAAACCAAAAACCGAAACTCAAGAAAAATGCAATGCTCGGCCATCGTGACTGATGTTTACGTTTGCCATTTTGGTATCCGTATCATGCGCATTCTCGTGTCTACGGACTTGTGTCTGTCGTTTTAAGATGGAAAAATAAAAATAAATTCCACTCGGAGGTTTTATTTAAACGAAAGGCCATCACGCTGGGGGAAAAAAAGATAACAATGGAACAGCACTGCGTGGCCTCGCAATCCCAACCACCAACAAGCTCGCAAAGTGTTATGAAAGACGACCCTGCCTGAGGCGACGGCTGCACACTTGTACATGCACAAGCACGGCAGTTAAAACGCTTTAGATAAAAGCCAGTATTACTACCTCTGGACAGCGAAGAACCATCGTTGGACTCTTACAACAGCGACTAGAGTGCATGGCATTTATTTTTGTTTTGGCGTGCGTTTCATAAAATCTGCTCTATGAGGTATGTGGTCAATCTTCATTAATTTAAGTGCGCGGTAGAATCGGCAGCAATTTACTTTTGGTTATCTGAAAGCTAAATCTGCCTGCGCATTAGAATTGGGGGCGCGTTAGAATCGTGCAAACACGGTAAATAAAAAACAAATAAAATATGCACATAAAGCAGAACATAGAAAGCGAGTTACTTGAGAAAAGAATCAAAGCTGAATTGAATACACAGTTATATCTTGCTGATATGGACCCTATTATGTCCACTGTATGAACTAAAATTTTCAGGGATGATCCGGGCGAGTATAAAAACAACTCACATAAAATTGTGAGTGTGGCAGTGGCTCAATATGTTCAGAGGTTTAGATTCACTGCAGCCAGATGCGTACAAGTTAAAGGGGGTCATGCAACGAAATCGGGTTGCAATGTTCATGACTCTGCAGAAGCATACTGGTCGTATTCTGGACCAAGTATACTCACAGAGACCGCCACTGATTCAGAAGCTTCTTTGTCGCAGTGAAATCGCGGGGATGAAAGGGGACTATTTCTTTCAGTGTTGCCTTCGCAAAGCTTGACGACGTAACTGTGGGATTGAAACCACCCGCCTGACGACAGTTCAGTGCAACTCATGAATTGGAAATAAGAACTGTGTAAGAACTCGACTTCGACCCGTAACAATTACTGCCTCGGAGGACACTTGGGTAGTGGCTAGTGTCCAACCACAGCGGGGATGAGAATTGCTGAACTCTAACAATGCCTGGAGCTCAGCACACATTTTCTACTTTGCCGACCATAGCGCGTGGCTGTGATTAACGTTGGCGGCATAGGATAGGCAAAAGGCCATGTGGCCGCTTGTCTTGGCTCTGAGTTGAGGGGATGAACGATGCTCATATTTCTCGAATATTCGGTGACTGTCATTACCTAGAAAGAAAAGCTGAGGCAAGTTTATTCAGTTATTAACGTTAGAGAGTGATTCCAAGTAGCGTCGAGACCAGTTACCGTATTTACTTGTATAATGAACTCACTTTTTCCCCGAAAAATTGACACATATTTGGGGGGAGGGGGGTTCATAACACGGGGTAAAATTTTGGTACAGGTTCGTCTGGCGTCGTACTACGCTCGAGGAAGAGAAGGAAAGAAGGAGGGAGAGGAGAAGGAAAGAAGGAGGGAGAGGAGGAAAGGAGAAGGGGTTGAGGAGGAAACTGGGGGAGGGCCCCTGAAAAATTTGTTGGGGAAAAAAAGGAGTTGCAGTCGGGGAGGTCCCCCGGCGATTTTTTTGTGGGTATAGTTTGTTGTGGGGAAGCAGACAATGACTTTCAGAAGCACAAGAGCAATGAGCGTGCGATGTGCGCTCTTCATATTGGGACTATTTCTCAGGTTTTCAAGAACGTACTAGATTAATGGTTTTGATTTCGTAGAGCTGCTTTCTTAGCATTTGGAATTGGGGTTATTTTGTTATTGTATTTCACAACGTGAATTTTAGCTTTTTTTCGGGACTGGGTCAATCCTGGGTAAAAATTTGTTTCCCAAACTTATTTTAAAGGGGCTGTTCGTATACCGCTTACAAATCGCCACGTTGCGCTGTTAGCATTTGGAATTTGGGTTGCATTTCACAACGTGAATTATAGTGTTTTTTTTCGGGACTGAGCCAATCCTGGGTAAAAATTTTTCTCCCAAACTTATTTGACAGGGACTGTCACCATTCCGCTTACAAATCGCCACGGTGCGCTGAGCCAAGGGTATGAAATATATTAACCCAATTAATTATCTGTAACAATAAGCGACCAGCGTTTAGTCAAACATCCAGAAACAGAGTTTCTAAATCTGCTAAAACGCCCTAAGCAAGTGAAAAAAAATATATCGCATTCCAAATCGTCTGCTTCCCAAACAAAAAAAGTACCCACAACAAATCGCCAAAGGACGTCCCCAACCCCATTTTTTTTTTTTTTTTTCACAACAAACTTTTAGGGGGCTTTTTCCCAGTTTCCTTCTCACCCCCTCCTCCTCTCTCTATTCCCCCTCTCCTTCCTTCCTTCCTCCTCTCCGATCTTCCTCTTCCTCCTTCTTTCCTCCTCCTCCTCGAGGAAAGTGCGACGCCAGACGAATCTGTACCAAAATTTTTGCATTTACACACTTTCTGCAAATGTTATATTAGTTGCCAATATGACACGGCAAGGTACTGTGGCACGTCTCCAGTGGTGGAGGCGCACCCAGGGCTGGTCGGGGGCACGCCACAATAACCATGCTTTATAAATTGCAAACCTTTTAGGGCGCTTTCAGGGTGCCTTTTGCCGAAGGAAAAGCGCCCTACAAGCTCACTCAGCACAAAAAGCAACACAATTACAACCGTTCTTAGGCGACATATATTGCTAGTATCCAGCGGGCACGCTCAGGTATAATCCGTGACTACGCGTATAAGAAGTTGTAGGAGTCGCTTGAGTATTTGATCGTTTCCTGGGAACTGAGGTAATCGACCTTCAACCGCTCGGATGGGGGCACCCCGACGGCTCGCCCCGAGGATAGGGGGATGAGCGGCTTGAGCCTTTTTTAATCTTTGGCCCGGGAAGGAGACAGACATTCTTGCCTGTCTCCGCGAGGTAGTGGCACCCTCCCCGGCTTTGTCGTTACGGCGCGTTCCCAGTGACGGCTTGTCTGGTCGGGAGACTGCTACAGCAAGGTTTTAGTGAGGAGGGGCGCCGGCCTGGGTCCATTTGGACTCCATTACGCTTTACTCGCTAACTTCGAAGGACACGGCGTTAATTTGTTTTGACGCGGCGAAGTGGAGGGTCTTTTCTCCGTAAACTAGTAAAGTATCACCCCGATTGGAGAGTTCCCCAAGTGGTTTAGCATTGTTTCTCTTCTTAGAAAAGGGAAATAACGAGTTCTGTTGCCTCTCTGTGATTGGTGGAGGACCCGCCGGCACTGGGGCCAATAGAATTGTATAATCGTCCTGATTGGACAGGCCTTGTGTCAGCGGGGAGTTTTCTCGTCCGCGCTGGCGAGGGAACGTTGAGTTTGAACAAGCCCGCGCGCGGAGCAAGTTATCTCCCGTGGTCCGCCGGTCCGCGTAGCTTTGTCGCGAGCGACGAGCAGTTTCTTTGAGCCTCACCGTGCGCGGTGGGCACTTTGCGCCGAGGCGCGGTTTTTTCTTGTATTTCTACTGCCGTCAGCGGACAGTAGAGTTCTGTAACCAAGTTTGCTGTTGACGTTTTAATATATTTGTTTTTATCAATCGTTGCTCTCGATTTTGAGCGTCTTTCTTCGAGGCTCCGCCACCACCAACAAGCACCGAAGCGACCATCCAGCGCGGCAGTCCACGATCACCCGGCCCTGACCTACGACTTCTAGGAAGGACCGGGACAAAACAACCTGGTGACCCTCAGGGAGGGGCACATTCTTTACTGGCGCAGTCGACAGGATCGTGGACATTGTCAACCGCCTGGAAAGGTTCCAGACGCCTGGGTTGGTGCGGAAAGCGGTGGTGTAAATCGGAAGGAGCCCAGGACCAGCCGAGACAACGAGGAGCGGTCCACAAGCAGCCTGGTACAGCAAGGCACGGCTACGAGCACGCCTGTGTCCGACAGCGGTGGAAGCCAAGAAGCGGACGTCGCGTGGGGCCATCGGCGCCGGTGACCTGCGGGTTCGGCGTCATCGACAACTGCCGTGGGCCTGGGGCCTTCAATGGTGACAAAAGATTCAAGCCGGCGGACGTCAGCGGCTGCAATCGACGCCAGTGGCCTGCGGGGTTGGCGACATCCGATGCGACTGCGCGGACTCTACAGCACCGCCAGGTAAGTGGTCGTTTTCCCTTCCGTCGCCGGCTGACACCCGCGTACTTAGCTGCATGGCGACGTATAACTGGCCCATTGGGGAGAGCCTCAGTAACGGAGGCGACGAATGGTCGGATGGGGAAGCGATTCCGGTGAGTGTTCAGATAGTCCTCGTGAGGAAAAGAACGAAGGAGCTAGACCTGCAGATACAACTCGCAGAGCTCCGGGCGGAGGAGCGGAGGACAAGAGCTCGGCTTCTGGAGGAGCACCGTGAAGAGTTGCAGATTAATGCAGCGGAGGGCGCGGAGCCCGAGGCTCACTGCGTGAGCGAAACAGAACCGGACGCACGGGGCGACCCGGAGACTGCCATGGGGTCCGGGGCCGATTGTGCCGTACAAAAGCCGGATACTGCCATGGAGTCCGAGGGTGATCGCGCTGTCCAGGAACCGGAGACTGCCGGGGGTTCCGAGGCCGATCGTACCGTACAAGGACCGGAGACTGCGGTGGGGTCTGATGCCGACCGCAGTGTCGAGGAACAGGACACTGCCGGGGGGTCCGAGGCTGACCGCGCTGTCCAGGAACCGAACACTGCCAGGGGTTCCGAGGCTA